TTTATTGTTTTTGGATGTCGTAGTTGTCAAAAGAAGGCCAGGCGACTGCAATAACTTTTCTTTCACGGGTCAGAGGGAACCTCTGATGGTTTTACCATCCTGTTTGTTTCAGTAGAAAGGAGCACTTCAACGCAACAATAGTCATTTAGTGTGCAGTTCTATTCTGTTGTTAAGAACTCTCTCTCTCTCTCTCTCTCTCTCTCTCTCTCCTGGCAGATAGATAGATAGATAGATAGATAGATAGATAGATAGATAGATAGATAGATAGATAGATAGATAGATAGATAGATAGATGATTCGGTGACACGGCGTTAAGGTGGATAGTCCATGTGGTGTGTCCTTGAGCTAGACACAATACCCCTAGCTCAAAAAGGGCGCTGTAAAGTGGCGACCAGGGCAGCAATCTGAATGTCCACCTTTCTAAGCCTTCAGGCAGGCTTTTCAACACAAATATTCATTTCGAGGTTGCAATTCGGTAGAAGTTGTTCGGAGTTTAGTTTTAGCACGTTTTAAGAAGACAAATAAGGTCCACTGCTGTTTGATGGGTTGGGGGGGGGATCAAATCGCAAAAGAAAAACAACCAACCAAACACCAGAAGTTATGATTCTTGGCCTTTGCTATGTGCAGTGACCACTGTAGTAATCCTTTGACCTATAATTCCCTCTACGTCCAGGTGTACATTCCTACGACGCCCACCAAGGCCGCCACGTGTGGAGACTGGAGCCCAGGTCAGCACTACAGGGTCACGTGACGCGAGTCACCGGGCCCTTCAGCCTCCCGCCAAACAACAGAGGCAGTGGAGGACGCGACTCCTCCCAGAGGGTGAGAGCTGACGACAGAGCTTGTTGTCAACCTTTGTATGACCATAGCCCCAATTTTTGCCGCCTTTAAAAGAAGCTATACATTTTCGCAGCGCCTTTCTACATGGCGTACTTGTTTATACCGGAACCTCTCGAAAACAACAGAAACCTCCAAAAACCACCCGAAACCACGCGAAAACACCCAAAACCTCCCGAAAATAATTAAAATCCTTACTATACAATTTTTGAAAGCTTATAACCTGTAGAATATTCTGAGGGGGCTCTCTTGGCCTAGAGGTTAAGGTGTTGGAAATTCCTCCCAAAGTGTTTGCCTCCCAATCACTAGGTCCCGGGTTCGAACACGGATAAAGATGGAAAATTTTTTCTCTAAAAAAATGTCTCCTTTCACATCCTTTCCTGCTCTCTAACAATATTCTGTCGTCGGCTTTCGTCTCCACTTTCTGCCCCCACCCCCTCACCTTCTTTGCCCCCTCCTCTGGACTCCTGACTCTTTCTGCAGCCTTTCTACTGCTACTCCTTGGTTCCTTCTTTCTGCTGCTGCTGTCTTTCAGCCACATCCCTGATCTTATGGTCGGAAAGATCTACACCTTGACTTCTCGGACAAGGGCGAAATATCTCGGAGGTCCAGTGTGCAAGCTGCGCACGTTAAAGATCTCTTGGTGGTTCAAAATCGATAAGAGTAGGCTTCAGCCGCCACCCGGGCAAAATTTTAAAATTCCTACCAACTGAAAATGTTAAATGTGTCCCGCGCGTTTATATTATGACCTTATGCAGTTGCGAGCGCCGTAAAAACGTTCCAAAAAATAATACTAAAAAAGTTAGTTAATAACACCTGTCACTTTCAGGGGAATGTCATCTCCAACCAACCAAAGTGCAACAATTAAAACGCATTAATTTACGCCACAGGCACCGATGGGTTTGTGAGTTTTATCCATCAGCGCATTAACACTATCACTCGACTGCCCTACTTTTTTTCTTTTCCTCTCTTGCAATTGGTCTGTCTGCCTACTTTCTATTCCCTGCACTACATTACCATGTTTGGTTTGTTGGTGTGCTTCTCTCTACTTAATCCCCTCGCCTGAGACTGAGATTCTCTCTCGTCTCTCTCGTCTCTCTCGATTCTTTCGTCGTTTTCGTCTCTCTCATCCCCCCTCCCACTCCTCTGA